AATCTACTTGTATTTTTTATTTTACAATCCAATTTTTATTATGTTCTGATAACTCAATAACTAATATCCGTCCATCCTCTCCACACGATATAACTTGATTTTGTTATTCATTTAAACTTAATTAATAAACCTAATCTTTATGATCTGTGATTGTTTATTAACAAATCCATTAATTTTACTTAATCCAAAACTTAATAGTCTTATCTGCACTAATTGATATAAATAAATCTTCATTATTATTCAGAATTAAGCATCTTAGGTAATGACTATGACCTTAAATAGTTTATGAGCAAATCCAGGAATTATTATTGGTATTATATGACCAAATAAAAATAGATCCTGAATCTCCAGAAATCAACTAATTTGATTATTTCATGAAATTTAAAGTGACTACATTATTTTTATGTTACTTTAGGACTTGATTTAATTTCATCATTTCTTATATGAACTCATATATCTTAATTTCTTTATTACATCCAGCTGCTACAATTGAACAATCTTTGTTAATAGCAACTGCATAACAGTACTCTTATTATTTAATTGAATTGGCTTAAATTATTTCATAAGTAAATGGTTTAAGATTCAAACAATTTTAAGGTTTCATTTAATTTTGGAGTTGATTCATTTCTTATTTTATCTTTTGAGTCAAAGTCTTAACTTCTTATCCCCAAAAATTCTTTGCTTTTTCTAATTCTATCAAATAAACTTTTCTCTAAGTTTTCCATAAATCTAATGTATTTCCTTTTACAATTTATACTAATTTTTCTAAATCAGTATAAGAGGATTCGGCTATATTCGTATTTTCGTTTATAAGACCAATGTTTTAATTATTTTCCTGTTCAATCATATTGAAAATTTGGTTTATTGACACAATTAAATCTTCCCAAATTTTCTTCATCATACTCTCAATTTAAGAGAGAAAGGATTTAAAATTCTTTCTTTAATTGGCTAATTCAGATGTATCATCAGCCTTATTTGCTTTTAATTTATTGATAACCATTTCTCGAAATCTAAGAATTGGAATTGTCTGTTTATGATCCACTTCATGTTCATATAGGCAATCGACACATAGTTTTCTTTAACATGAGCAGGAATGAGAAGCTATACATATTAACGATATAGGATATTAGTTATGGCGAATGCAATTCATAATTTATTTTTAATTTTGAATTTCTATACTTTTATTTAAGTTTTATATTAGGAAACTAAAAGTAATTTATTTATTGAAGTCAAAAAAAAGAATAAACTTTAAAAGAATAGAAATTTATTGTAAATGAGGTTATATCTCATTTTGAGAAATCAAATCAATACTTAGAGAGCCTAAAATAGAATTTAAAGTATCTGAAAAATATAATTTATCATAAGCAGAAGTATATTTCTACCTTAAGCTAACAATAATTTTTCAATTGTTTCTACTATTCCTCAACTTCTTAACTTCATAACAATATTAATTAATACTAACAAATTTTTTGTGGATGGATATGATTTTAAATTTTATTGACAATATTAAATTATTTTATTTGATTACTGTAAAAGCATGAATTGATGAGAAAAAACATAGTATTTAAGCAATAAAAAGATCAATTCGTTAAATAACTAAAAAATTTATACTAAAATTGTAATACATAGTTTAACATCTTTTTGAAAGACAAGATAGCGGTATTAATAGAATTTACTGTTTATGGAATTAATTAATTGAATCAATATAAATTTCACAATTTTAGATGCATATATTACATTTTCCTTCATCATCCGTTATATGACATATTTTACAGGTTTCACAATCAAAATAAGATAAACATTGGGTTTGTTATTATATATATTAAGTCTCCTTTCAATAATATTAATCCATACAAGCAGTACATTACATTTATTGCAATTCTAATTAGATAATGCACTATCGAAAATAAGAATATAATGTCCCTATTCAATTATATTATTCTTCAATAAGTGAGTAATTGTCTTAAAAAATATGCAAAAATCTTAATTAAACATGCAAGTTAGACAAGGAAGTTAATATCGTTTGCAATTCTTAGAATTATCAATACAATAACGTGGTTTACATTAATAAACATTTTACAATAAAATACAATTAGGATTAGAGAATGATAAACATTTATCAGATTATTCAAAACAGGTAAAATATTATGATGAAAATTCTCAGCCAACTGCATAATATTGTTATAAGTAATTTTAAACTATATTAATTTTCATATCTTGCATACCCTACTAATTTAGGGGAATTATGTAGAAGTTTATTTCTTAGATTATTATTTCCCATTCGTCAATCTATATTGATCTTCCCATAAGCCTAGAGTATGACAAATTATTTATTTTCTTTCTCTTTCTGTTCCCATTTCTATTAAAGAAATATACATAGGTAGTTTTTCCTTCTTTTAAATATGAATTAGAAATAAAGCTTGTTGTTAAAAATCAGAAGCATTTATTTATCTTATTTATATAGCTTATTTATATGATTTGCATTATCAATAGCAGCTTGATTACTTTTTGATGAATCTATACTTCTTTGCTTTTTATAGATTTAAAATATTTATAAAACTTCAAGTTAAGCTATTCCAATAACATTTCTCTTGATTCTAATAAAATTTGAATAACTCTGAAACTATATTTAACCTTGGTCAACTATAAAGATTTAGTGTTTCTTAATATGATTTTGAAATCTTAGTTATTTAAGTAAATGCTCTTAAAAGAAGAAATAAATATATAATAAAAATAAATTTGTGTGATGGATTTTTAGGTTGGTCTACAGAATGTGGCAAATAAATTCAAAAAGTTAGCAAATAATAGATATTTAATGATTAAATAATTTATAGTATTATAAGTTTAAATTTAGTAATTGATTTACAAAGATAAACTTTCATTATAAAAATTTATTATAAAAAACTAATTTATGATTTTTATATTAAAGTTTGTTAAATTAATTAATAATAAATGTTTTTAAAAATATTAAATTTTATCAGTTTATTTATTTGTGAAATGATTGTGGCAGTTCTTCTGATTCTTTATTTGAAAAAGAAAAATGTGGATAAAATTAATTGACCTATGCTTGTTTGTCAAAAGGTAAGAAATAATTATTGAAATCATTTAACTATAAGAGCTTTTAAGTTTAAGTTATTCATGATGTTTTTTTGGTGATTCTGATGGTCTTAATTTATAGATAAAAGTAGTATATGATACCCAATATTGCATCATCAATAAGAATGCGATAGAGATTATTCAATACCTCGTTATGATAAGATTGTGTGTAAGACAGAAGAAGTAAATCAAAATTTACATTGTTTGAAAATAATATTATCCCATAATCAAATTATCGATATTCGCCATTAGAATTTTAAGAGGACAAATTTCACTAAAAAAATACAGATTTAATTTATGAAAATTATAATGGAATAAGCTTTATAGGTACTCTCTAATTTAGTGAAGGTATGATTTATTAAATGAGCTTATAAAACATAGTGAAATTTATTAGAGTTTGAATGACATTTTATTTATTTAATTTACAAGAGTAAAGTAAAATTGAAATCTAATTGTAATCTAGAATAATTAAAGATTTAGAGGATTTTTAATTTGAAAATTTGATACCAATATTTTATAATTTATTAAGAATTGAGATGATATTTTAAATCTACGATTCTAACCCAAACTTACATTTAAGGCTAATTAAGTATGATTATGAATCTTGGGGACTTAAAAATATAACAGTAGACACTGGATTTTGCTAAGAAAATTGCTTGATATGTTCTGACTTTTCTAATTGTTAATAATATAATACTGGATTTTAATTACATAAAAATATGTGTATTTAATTATGTCCTATTCATTCATCTATAATTGTGTTGACTATGAAGAATTTATTCCATGTATAAGTGATGTAAAAAGTTTAGATTCTCATTATGTAATATTTCATTATTATAATGTGTCGTCCATTTTGTTCAACTTGCACTAGTTTAGATGCATGTTCAGGCTAGTTCAAATTGTGGAATAAGTCAATATTTGGAATTCAATTCAACAACTGAAACTTATAGTTGTAAAGATTGTAATTAACCTGGATGTACTACTTGAACGAGTGCTTAAACGTGCATTTAATGTGATGAAAATGCTGGATGGTACAATTTAAATTCTTGTTATTTATTCGTCGTTTCCATTTTATTCTGGTCTTTATTTCTATTGGAATAGATTATTATTTTTTTTTTGACTTAATTCAACCATATTTAAAGTTACTGAATACATTTTATATAATATGTAATTACAATACAAAGATAATTAATTGATAATCATTATCTAAAATAATCCTACAAATATTTAAGCATAAGATGTAATTAGAAAATTTCATTATTATCAATGATCAATTTACAAATTCTGCCATTAACTGTTCTACTATAAATTATAATTTTAATTCATTAGTTAATTCTTACTTATTAATGTTTTCATAGCCATAATTTTTCTTCCTCTCTCAAATTTACTATTTTCTTTAATAGGAAATTATTCACAATATCCAATATCCTTTATATTTTAATGATGTTGAAATCAGAAATAAGAATTTAGTTAATATATAAAAATATTATTTGTAAATATTTATTTATATTTTATCTTAACAAGATTCTTAATTTTCAATAGTTTCTACCTCATATTATTTGAATGAATATGGAATTAATTTGCCATCATCACATGAGGATAACATTTAAAATTTTTATTCATAATAAATCTATCTTTACGCTCTAAAAACAAATTAGCAACTAAGAAAAAATTCACAACAGGAATTTTGTAATTAAAACAACTTTCATAAGGAATTAACTTTATATCATCTCATAGTTTTTACATTCTATAAAAATTCATCCTTCTTTGAAAATTAAACATTAATAAT